CAGGCCGATGAGCTCAGACGCAGGGAGGAGACTGGAGGTTGTCGAGCTTGAACTTCTTGAGCAGAGTCTTGATCTCGTCGAGCTCCGCGTCGGCAATGTTGCTGAGGATGAGGTGCTGGTTGCCTGTGAGGCGGAACTCGCCCTTACCGAGCTTGGCCAACTCGCGAAGGCCCGTCTTCATCTGGAACGCTGTCGTATCCTCGATGCGACCGTTCTCGATGAAGAAGGTGAAGTGGTTGAGACCAGTCTCGTCCTTCTGCCAGCCGAACGTGTCGACGTTGCTCTTGAACTCAAAGGGGCGCTGCTTCTCGAACTTGCGGCCCCACAGCTCCTCGACCTTGCTGCGGAAGACATCAACACCCATGTCGTCAATGGTGTACTTGAGACGCGCGTGCTTGCGGTTCTTGCGGTCGCCATTGTCGCGCTGCACGAGCATGATCTTCTCGCACGCAATGTGGACCTGATCCGGCGTGCAGAAGCCGAGGTGGCGACCGATCTGGGGGTACGTTTTCTTGTTGTTGTGCGTGGTACCCATGCCACCACCGGCGAGCACGTTGAAGCCTGCGAGCTTGCCGTCCTTGCCCTTGATGGCGATGAGACCAATGTCGTGCGCGTAGACGTCCGTGTCGTTGTGGGGAGGAATGGCCATGGTGATCTTGAACTTGCGGGGCAGGTAGGTGGGGCCGTAGAGGGGCTCAAAGTCCTGCACGGCGTTGCCGGCGACCTGGGTCTTCTTGTTGTCGTCGTCCGTGAGCCAAATCTCGTGGTAGGCCGTGGTCTGAGGCAGCAGGTGGTCGCTGATGACCTGGGAGTACTTCCAGACCTCCTTGTGGAAGGCAGACTGTGTGGGAAGCGAGCTGCACATGATGTTACGGTTGACATCACCGCACGCGGCAATAGTCGTCATGAGAGCGCGGTTGATGGCCTGCATGGCGGGCTTGAGCTTGCCCTTGACGATGCCGTGGAACTGGAACGTCTGGCGCGTCGTCAGCTTCATCGTCTCGTTACCGAGCGTGTTGCTGATGTCGTCCATCTGCACCCACTGAAGGGGCGTCGCGACACCACCGTCCAGACGGCAACGAATCATGAAGGAGTAGGCGGGCTCGAGACCCTGAGCCTTGCGCTCGTCACGAAGGTCACGGTCATCCTGCATGTAGGTGCCGTGGAACTTGGTGAGCTGCAGGTCAGAGGCCGAGATGGCACCAGTCGAGGTGTCGGCGAGACCCTCGACAATGGTGCCACGGAGGAAGTTGGAGGCAATCTTGATGTCCTCGTTGGTGATGGGAGCAGGTTCCTCGGGAAGACCCTCGACATTGTCGACGCCGAGCGCCTGCCAGATCTTGGGCTCCCACTCCTGGTAGCCCGTCTTGTAGCCATCAGGGTCCTGGTCATCACCGAGACCAACATCAGCGAGCCTCTTGCCGCCGAGGTTGCTGAGGACGCGGTCGAGGTCCTTGGCCGGCTTGTTGTAGTAAATCTTGTCCTCCTTGCGGGGCCAGTAGTGCTTGTCACCGAGACCAAAGACGGAGTAGTTGACGTTGGCAAGGTCGAGCTCCGTGTTGTCCTTGATGGACTCCCAGAAGGCATGGCCGTCCTGGGGGAACTCACCCTGACCAGCGGTCGAGGTGACGAACACAATGTTCTCCTCTGAAGGAAGGTCCTCGAGGGGATAGTCCTCCATCGACATGACCTGGGTCTTGAGACCGCGGGCCTTGCCACGGTTGGCCAGACGCTTGGCCACGGAGGTGGCGTTGCCGTTGTCGGAAGCGAACAGCACTGTCAGGGGAGCGCCGAGAAGACCCTCGAGAAGGGCGTCGTAGGCATCCTTGGTCTTCCTCTTCTGCTGGGCGCGAACCTCGGTACCAAGTCTGCGTCAGTGGCGGCAAAGGCGGGGTCCTTGTTCATGAGCTGCGTCAGCTGG